ATGAAAGTGAAAATTAACACAAAGCCTTGCTCAGGGACCCAAGGTCACTGTCTCCCCACCCACCCCGGATGCCACACTCTCTCTCTTCTACCTTTGGCTTCAGCAGCTTTAAAGAGAAGGATGATTGCAAGTGGAGCCAAAGTTTCCTTATCCCTGTCCCCAAGAAAAATCAAAACCTGTACACAGGAAGAGACAGGATAAAACTCTCATGACACTATTCATATGGTCCCCAAGTCACGATCACACATGGTGTCATGGAAGAAGGAAATGCCCAAGTTCAACTGATGGAATTTGAGTGAGGTTCACAGTGGACAAGAGAAGCTAAGGTGACTTTAAGAGGGCAGACTTTGGGCAGGTTTGAATTATTGTTGCTGGTTCTATTCCTGATTGCACAACAGTGATTGATGTGTTAAGTATTTATACTACTTGGCCCCCTAAGCACCAGAGGGAATTCTCCCTATCAGGAAGAGTCACATGGAGATAATTGATTAGACTTCATCTCATTTTCCACTGTAACCACTGTTACCCTGTCATCCATCGGAACCACATCAGTGGATTAATCCATTTGATAGGTTAGTAATTTGAATGGATTACTGGGTGGTAACTGTTGGCAGGTGGGTCATAGTGGAAGTAGGACACTGGGAGTGTGCTTTGGGGGGTTATATTTTGTTCCTGCTCCTCCCTCTCTCCTTCTCTGCTTCCTGGCAGCCCGGAGCTGGGCAGTTGGCCTCCACCACACCCTTCCACCTTGATGTTTTGTCTCACTTCAGGCACGAGGGATGGAGTCAACCAACTAAGGAACCTTTGAAACCATGAGCCCAAATTAAAATCTCCTCACAGTTGTTCTTGTCAGGTGTTTTATTCAGTTATGGAAAGCCGACTGACACAGGTGTATCCATTTTGAAAAGAAGCTCTGAACTTGCTACTGGGGTCTTGTACAAATAAATGGAACACTCAAACTGGGGGGGGGTGCTTGGGACACTCACATTTCTTTTGGGGGATGATGGACCAACTAGAATTGAATGACCAATGACATGAGAAGACACCCAAGAAGCCCAGCTTGTCAAAGAAGACTGAAGGGAGCCCAGCCCCAGCAACACCTTGGCTTTATGTGCAAAAGTCGTAGGATCCCTTGGTGAAAATATTATCTCCCATTTTGCCCCTGGATCATGGGACCCTTGCATTGGAGTTTCTCTGAAATACCTGGGTGGGAGTTTGGCTACTCTAAAAAAAAAAGCACGTGGTGTCTCCTGGGCTCACTGTGCTTGTGCAACTTGCCTGTGCTTGTGCAACTTGCCTGCGTTTGTGCAGAACTAGGATGTGGTGGCACAGCTCAGTGGGAAGAACTCAAAACCATTCTCCTAAGTCTGGCCAAAGCCCTCTTTGATGAACCATATTACATTTTTTTTTTCCTGATTCTTGAACTGTTGCCAATGGCTTAGCTATTTTGTCTGCCATTTGGCAGATTAAAGACACCCTGCTTTGGGGCCATGAAATGTGTAAACATATCATGGCTGCTAATCAAACCATCTGGGTCACTCCCATAGATGTCCACAGTTAAGAGACTGCACGAACAGGACCTGCTGGAATCAAGCTTGTGACAGGACCAGATTGCCACTGTGGCTGTCTACGTCCTTCATTTTCCCAGCCCTAGCACCATCGTGGACTGTGAACAAAGTACAGGGCCCTCTGTTTCTGACGCAGACGCTGCCACTGCATGTCGGACATGTGATTCTCACCCCAAATTAATCTGTTTATCTCACAGTGAGAAAGACCATCGTGTAACCCATGAGGCAAAGGTGTCATATGTTTGACTTTGGGGACCTTTTGCAGTTAGACAATGGTAAAACTACCTAAGGCTGGGCGTGGCGGCTCACACCTGTAATCCCAGTGGCTCGGGAGGCTGAGGCAGGAGGACTGTGAGTTCAAAGCCAGCCTCAGCAAAAAGGAAGGTGCTAAGCAATTCAGTCAGACCCTGTCTCTAAATAAAATACAACATGAGGCTGGGGATGGGGCTCAGTGGTTGAGTGCCCCTGAGTTCAATCCTCGTGCCCCAAAAAAACTACCTGAGTGTGGACGGTCAAGGTAGACTGTCATCCTCTCTGTCATCCACAGGTATATGGTATTGTGGAGAGATGGAAAGACCTCAAATTTCTGACTTTACCTCCATCACCTCCTTCTAGCACATATGCCTTTCACAGTGCAATTTCACCACTGAATGTGGCTGTCCCCAAATAAGGATTTTTTTTGTTTTTAATTTTTTGTTTTCTCTTGGGCACTTACTGGACAATTGGAATTTCAGAAGGGGACACCTCAGGACTCAGGAAGGAAGAAGGAGGAGAGACACTGATAGTTGTCTTTTTAAAACTTCGATAGACCATTGTTCATGAAAGAAAATGCCCTCGTGCCCCTCTCCCAAGCTGATGCAAGCACCTCACATTTCCTTGGCTTTTATGGATGCCATTCTCCCCAAGATGGCACTAAGGAGTCTCTCAAAATAATAGAGGCTGTCCCCAGTTCTTGCACCTCCCATGCACAACATCTGCCAATGCCTCTGGACTTTTTCCTCCACCACTATTTCCATCCCATGCATCAGATGACTGCCTCTAATTCTGGCAGGGTGGACTGTCCTTGGGCCAAAAACAAGAATGTGTGAACTGAACTGGGAATCTTGAGATCTACCATCCAAGTGGGAAACCAATTGAGTCATTGTCAGTCGGTGCCATCCACCTGAGATAGGCTCCACCTGGGTGGGCAGGCAAGGAGGTATCAACTGAAAACTATACTACTTTTCAAGTGTTGGGGGTCATGGCTGCTCCTGGAAGGACACTTTTTGTGTTGAAGCCACATCTGGACATAGTGACGGCTATAGAGATCATAGGAGAAAGACATCCCGAAAATGTAGAAAGTACTTTGCATGGTGGGAGTTGACAGCTGTTTTACTGGGCTTTTTAGAGCGGTTTGGTGAAGAATGGAGACAGAGATTTCAGGTACATTTAAATAAGAGATTCCAAGTCAGATGTTCAAGCAAACGTGACCACTGACCTCTGAAGCCCTTGACTGTACAGATCTCCCCAGAACAAGATTACCCTTGGTTATTTGGGACAACAGGCTTAGGCACACCCTCAGGACAGCTTTATCCAGTGGGAATCATAAAATTAGAAACTCAGTATAAAATTTCCCCCTGACCTTAACTCAGGAAATTGATGACAACTCTTGATGTCTTAAAGGCATGGAAATCAGCCTCAACTAACTGGCAAGGAGTTACTGATGAGAGTCCTGAGCTAATCTTCTTCCTCTTGTACCAAGACCGAGTCTAGCAAGTACTGATACATTCTCCTGAACCTGAGTTAACTCCTCAAACTAACTAGAATAATCAGTTCTGAAACCCAAGGAGACAGACACCTGACTATCTAAGTTGCATCCTTTAGTTTTACAGGATGGGCTCAGCTGGTGGGATCTGGGCTACCTCATCCTGCTGTTTGGAGTCTTCCTGTTGTTGCTGAACTTAGTTAAATGCTCTATGAGACAAACTGATGGTATCTGGTCCTAGTTTATGGCAATTAGATTAATTAGAGGGGTTGAAGAATCAGCATGCACATGGCAAACTAACCAGAACCAAGAAGATGGCTTTACCAGAAGCCAGATGTGGGGTGGATATCATTGGGGGAAAATTCACAAGTTTCTGCACATCTTCTGGGTGGTGCAATCATTACCTTCCTCACAGACTGTCTTTATGGTTATTTTTGAAACAAATAGGGCTAGAAGACAGAAGTAGTGACTCCAACTAGGAAAAAGGGTGTATTGGCTTATAGTCTTAGAAGATAAAGATGGTCTCTTTTTCTGTCGCAAATGGCAGGCACACTCACTGTCTATTTTTCACAAATGTTCATTTTTACAAGGTTCAGGTTTTCTAGCTTCAGGAGTAATACCCTACAGTATATCCATCTGTACCAATCCCGAGTCCTAGGGAACGTAGGAGCCAGGAGAACGTCTGCAAATATACTGTTTATCCTGCTGCGTGCTGCGCTATGGATAATAGGGTCTACTGTCTCTGAGCCAAGAGTCTCATGTCTTCTGTCAGCATCCAAGAAACTCTCATAGACTAATATGGAAACTTGCAAGTAGATAAAAACGCAGACATTTCCGGACTGTTGTGAACTATGATGTTGGATAAACTTTTCTGTCCTTTCCACTTTTTAAATTCCTTCCTTCATTCATGTGTTCTCCAAGTGTTTATTCGACACTACCTACTTAAAAGACGCTCTCACAGAACACAAAGCAGGCTGTATTCTTACCTGCCAGGGCTTACAGTCTAGCAGGGAAGGCAGAAACCAGTCACACAAGGTTGGGATTATGGAGCGCATCCCATGATCAGTGTCATGAAAGAAAAGGGCAGAGTGCAGACATCAGATGGGACCCTCGTTTAGAGGGGAGGTCAGAAAAGACATTACTGAGGAAAAGACAGTGAGCTGAGATGTGAAAAGCAGATGGAAATGATAAGTGGCAAGGTGGGGAAGAGCCCGTGCAAAGGTCCTGAGGAGGGAGGATCTTGGCATATCCCAATGCAGGAGAAATCAAAGGTATGGGAAAGGATGTGCCAGAGGAAATGGGTATTTAAGCAGAGGTCATATCAGGCATAGCCTTGTCTTCAGTTGTTTTAAGACCAGTGCCTTTGCTCTGAAGCTGGGTGGGGGCCATTAAAATCTAAGACCGATGAGGAGACAGAGAAGGCTCTTTATCTGTCTCCTTCACCTCAATATTCCCAGCACTTATAATAATACCTGGCAGATAGTAGGTGCTCAATAAAATTCATTCAGTTAATTGATGAGAGAGATACAATTTGCATTTTCTAAACGATCACTTTGACTCTTATGTGGAAAATAGACTGAACAAACACATGAAGTAAAAACTGGGATATGAGATAGAAGGCTATTCCATATCCCAGTGAGAAATTCATAGCAGTGATAGCAGAAGAGATAAAACATGTATTCCCTCACCTCACACACAGCCTTTTGGCTTCATTGCTCTCTAAGGATCTGTTCAACTTGAAAGATCATGACAGGTCATCAAGTTCCATGTTAACTAAAAAAGACAGCATGTTACATGGTGATTAAAGTCTTTGAGGGTAAAGGTTAGTCTATGTGGTTACTAGTACTGACAAAGAGTGTATTAGCTTTCTGTTACTGTGACAAAATGCCTGAGAATAACAACTTGAAATAGGAAAGATTTATTTTGTCTCAAAGTTTCAGAGGTTTCCATCCATAATCAGCTGGCTTCATTGCTTTTAAGCCTATAACAAGACAGAAACAGGGTCTTGGAAAGATGTAGCAGAAGAAAACTGCTTACCTTGTGGGAGCCAGAAGCAGAGTAGGGAGAGCACAGGGAACAATATATTCTTCCTAGGTCATTCCCCCAGGGATCACTTCCTCTAACCAAGCCCTCCTCCTATAGACCCCGTCATTTCCCAAAACTCCATTCAATTATGACACCGTCAATGGATTTGTCCATGGATGAGATCAGAACCCTCGTAATCCAATCACTTCCCAAGAAACCCCATCTCTGGGCATTGATGCATTGATGACCAAGCCTTCCATACAAGACCTTTGTGGAACATTCCAGAACTAAACCAACCAAAGAAAAAATTGACAACTGGGAACACGTAAAAGCCATAAAAGCTCCAGGTCAGCAGAACAAACCCAAGAGCATTTCCTACCTGAGACTCTCTCAAACCCTCTCCCCAGTCTTACTGGCCCTTGTTCTGTGCAGATCATGTGAGCCTCATTTTGACTTTTCAAGGAGCCCTACTGTTCCTATGAAGAGGATGAGCATTCAGGGTGTGTGAGTGTGTGCGCATGTGCATGCGCAGGTGCTCCGCCCAGCTACATCCTGGTAAGGAAGTGAGCCTATCAGCTTATGGAATGGCATGTTAAGTGAGTGAGCGGTCAGGGGTGGGAGAGAGGGGCACTGGAGGCAAGAGAATAGACAGTGCCTCTCCAGGTCACAAGGCATCCGTGCTCCTGGTATCACATGCCACCGTGTTGGGCATGGCAATTCCTGGAGCATAAGTTGCAAAAGAACTGGCCAAGGTTATTCTGGTGCCACGGTGGTCTCCATCTCCCAGCCCAGATGGTCAGGAATGCTACAAGGCAGAGAACTCTGCTCCCAGTGGAGAGCTGAGCACTTGACTTGGCTTAAATCATGACCACTCACGTCCACTGGACAGGTTGACGTTCCCTTTTGAAGGGCAGGGGGTAGGCACGGGCTCTGGAGAGGGAGTGCTCATTGAGAGACATAGAATGGCTGTTCTGGTTCTCTCAGCCCTGCAAGGAATGCCCACAGCCCAGGAGGGGGGTGGGCAGGCAGGAACACCCGGCCAAAGCAAAGGGGGCAGAGACTTCCAGACCTGCATTGAAAGAGAATAATGGTGACAGAAATCAGCCACCAAGTGGTTATTCATCTTAAATGATTAACAGTAAAAGGAAGAAAAAGAAATTGTCAATGATTACATTATATTGTTGCTAATAATCCAGAAAAGAGAACTAAACTAATACATAATATTCTGATATCTCACGAGGTAGGCAGCATTTTGTGCCTGCTCCTTTTCAAGGCTTTGGATAAGAAAATGATAATAATTAGTTTGCATACCCACTCTAAGCTCATTCACAGTGAGTGGAGACAGGAGTTGTTACCTGTGCCCTTAAGTGTGCCTTTGGGTCAAAATTGTTTCCACTCTCTTAAAGATGCGGGAACAGTATTCTGACTATGATTCTTGGCTGGTTTTTATGGACTAGCTGCTCAGCTTGGTCCTTCTCATCCTCACTTAAACATCCTCAACACCCAAGAAGCTTTAGCCATCTGATGTGTCACAAAGAGGCAACCTCTCTCTTTTGCTAGAATCTCCATGGAAAGTTTCTGGGTGGTACTTCCTTTGGGATCAGTACCTAGATCCTGGGCAGGGCTCCTATGCCCAGTTGATTAATTATCCAGAGTTCCTGTCAGAAAAGCATTACATAGCTGTGCAGCAACCATCTTCTCTGTGTGACGTCCTAATTTCACTGGTAAATGTAAACTCTCAGAATTTTTTAGTAGCTCCTTATGACTTCAAAAGTGAAGGTACACAGAAAACTTCAAGGAAGGAATTAACAGTTGTCTTCTCTTTCTGGAACATTTGCTATTGTTTGAAACCTTTTCTCCAGTCCTGTTCCAAACCTAGGGGTCTTATAGGATTTTATATAAATCCCACTTGGGAAATCTTCCCTCTACTTTGCCAAGCTAAAAGGTTATTAGGTATATATGATGGTTCATGTTATACGTCGACTTGATTGGGCCACAGAGTGCTCAGATATCTGGCTAAATATTGTTCTGGGTATGTCTGTAAGGGTGCTCCTGGTTAGGATTCCTGTTTAAATTGGTAGACTAAGTAAAGTAGATTGCCTTCTCCATTCCAGGCAGGCCTCATTCAACCCACTAAAGACTTGAATAAAAGGAAAGGCTGAATAAGAAAAAACTCTTTTTTTCTCAGACTATATTTGAGCTGGGACATTGACCTTCTCCTGCCTTCAGACTTGAAAATAACTTATTCCCATTGACTCTCCTGGGTCTTAGGCATTCAGACTTGGATTGGAGCTCTACCACTGGTTCTCAGAGGTCTGGACTTCTCCATCATCTCCTGAGCCGATTCACATATATATGATTAATTATCCATATTAATATATATTAAAATATTAAACATACATAGCTATAATTTGGAGGTACAGCCACAAAAGTTCATACAGAAAACCTTGGTCCCTGGGGTAGCATCGTAGGGAGGTGATGAAATCTTTGGGAAGCGGGGCCTTGTGGGAGATCCTAAGTCATGGGAGGCACACCCTCAGAAGTGACTGTGGGACCCCATCAGTCTTCTCCGAGTCACCCCCCACTCCCCAACACCGTTCCTGACTCATGATGTGAATACTCACTCGGATATACACTCCTGAGACCAGTCTTGAAAATCAGGATCGGGTCCTCGTGCCCTGGATGTTGAAGATTAAACACCGGAAACGCTAAGGGAAGCGTAGAAAGTAAGTTTAATTTAAGAAAAAGAACACAGATAGCGGGCCTCTCTGGGGAGGAGTTGGGGGTCAGAGCTCGATGCCTGTGGGAAAGGGGTATGTTTTGCATTTTTATAGCTCCAAGATTTCCTCTCCCTCCCCACCTTCTCTTTCTTCCCTGTTTAAGTGCCTAAGGGCAGGAAGAAGCAGCCCAGGGGGTTGTGTTGGAAAGTTAGCAACCTGTTGGGGGTGGTGGTGCTCAGAGGTGTGAGCATCCCATTTCCCTTTCTTGGATAATCAGCCCTCATCTTTCCTTTGCCTATCTCCCTCCCTCCATAAAATGTTGCCCTTGCCAGAGCCTCCAAACAATGGCCCCTACCCTCCCCGCCAATCATGGGCCTCAAACTCCAGGACTATGAGCCAAAACAATCTCTTTACTTCATAAGCAGCCTGTGCCAGGTATTTTTTTTTTTCATTACAGTGATGGAAATCTGACATATATATATATATTCGATTTCCCCTGGAGAACCCTAAGTAATCCGGTATGCTACTCAAAGTTTTTGAAAACCACCTTCAGTAGCTTCCCGTAGACAAATGTTGCAAACTCAAATGGCTATAAACAAATTTAGAGGAGGGTGGGAGCCAAGCCTTTGAGTGGCAGCCATCCCCTCTCCAACGGACTTCTGCTGATTTTTCCAGTTTTTAAAGAGAAATTTAAAAATCTGGATATTATTTTTAATGTTGGAAACTACTTCAAAAAGTTTTTTTTAGAAGTTTCATACGTGCCAACAACCCCAGTCTGTTGGCCAGTTCTGGTCCCTGGCTGCCAGTGTACGATCTCTACTTTAGGGAGGTATGGATCGAAGGAAAGGGCACATTTAGAATATTTCCCTACTTTTAAACTTGGAGCTGTTGCTACAATTGCTGCATGATAACATTAGTTCTTACATGTATGGCTTGTCCTAGGTTTCTCTACAAACCTACTCCCTGACATCTTTACATTATCCCCATGGGACCCCTGAGAGGAGGAAAAGAGAACAAATATTGTAATCTCTGTTTCTATAGTTTTTGGATCTAGTTACAGAGTCTTCCAATGATGTGCCCCATCAAAAGGCAATAGAAAAATTTCAATCAATGTCAATTTAATGCAAGGCCTATCCTCTCCACCCAAATGAGAACCACGCATTAAACATTACTAACACTGTTTCTTCTATTTTTTTTTTTTTTTCACAAACACATGGACACTTGGTTTTAAGATGTTATGGAGGCTAAGTGAGATAGACAAATTTCGGTCAACAGCCCATGAATAGTTTAAAAGAAATTTTTCCTATGAATTGCTTGATTTTTTTTTTCCATTTTGATTATCAGACATTCTCTTTACACTTAGGGTTGCTTTTTAAAGATAGCTTCACTGCTAACTCAGTCTCCAAAAGAGCTTCTTCTTCTTCAAGCTGTGCCTCCAGAGCCCCAGTACAAGGAGGAGGGGGAGGGCTCCAAAGGTGCTTCTTCTGGGTCCTCCATTGTATTCAAATTAATGGCACCACATTAGCATGGGCTGCCCTTTGGTGCTCATTTGTTCCTGCACCCCGGGGGTTAAAGGAGCCGCATGCTCTCCAGATGTTCAGTAGCTCTTATAAATGAAAGATTAGCGATTTTTTGCTGCTGCTGCTGCTGCTATTCCCTCTCTTCCCTTTTAATGCTGATATTTTCTTTAGGATCTTGCTTAGTGTCTGAGTCAGAAGAATCTCCTCCCCGAGGTGTATCAATCAATAGCATGCACAAGAAGAAGAACAAAATGGAGAGGAGGGAGACCCAGGCTGTATTAATTTGTTGACTGCAACAGTCTTCCAATGACGGCTGTATACAGCCAATGGTTTCACTCGAGTCTTTGAAATGCGGATCAAATGCACGTGACATGTTTTCCTTAGTCTAAAAACAAAAACCAAGGAGGGAAAAAAAAAAGTTGTTTTTTTCTTTTTTTTTCTTTTTTTGGGCTCACATACCTTTTGTTAAGAGCTATGACAGGAATATCAAGTCTATTTTCAAGCCCGGTTTATCTTCCCACTAAACAAGAGACGTAAGTATCTGAAATATGACTGCATCAAACTCAAAGATGCCCCCCACAAGGCCTTCCCAGGGGAGAAATAAGGAAAGTACCCAAAATGCATTCCAATAAATGAATGCCAGTTTAGCATCTACCATGCCTGCCTTTGGTACACAGAGACACTCCCTCGGCCCTGCTGTTCCAAGAGCTGTTCAAGCATTGAATAAGTAGCGTTCCAATGAGACGAAACCTTCTGCCTCGGCTGGTGTTTAACAAGCTGTTTTCTTGCTACAACTCAGTCAGGATTTCTCCAGCCTTCATAGAATGACGTCTCGTATCTTCTAATACAGATGCTCCTCCACTTGTGATGGGGCTATCTCCCCAAAA